GTTCCTCTCCGCTAGCTTCAATGGGTCCTGCCGTTGTTGGCCCCAGTGAGAGTCCTCCTTCAGCCGTCGTTCCTTCTCCTTCAACAGTTGCAAGCGATTCTGGCAATGATGTTGTAGAGGGAGTAACAGATGTTTCAGCCCCGGATGGTGTTGTAGAGTTGCGTTTCGCTGGTCTCTTTCTGTAGCTGTGGTCGCCACCTGGTCGACGTTGGCTGCAACGATAGGTATCTTGTTACTCACTGCTGGTTCCTCTCCGCTAGCTTCAATGGGTCCTGCCGTTGTTGGCCCCACTGAGAGTCCTCCTTCAGCCGTCGTTCCTTCTCCTTCAACAGTTGCAAGCGATTCTGGCAATGATGTTGTAGAGGAGCTAACAGACTGTTTTCAGCCCGGATGTCGTTGTAGAAGTTGGTTCGCTGGTCTCTTCTGTAGCTGTGGTCGCCACCTGGTCGACGTTGGCTGCAACGATAGGTACTCTTGTTACTCACTGCTGGTTCCTCTCCGCTAGCTTCAATGGGTCCTGCCGTTGTTGGCTCCACTGAGGGTCCTCCTTCAACCGTCGTTCCTTCTCCTGCTTCAGTTGCAAGCGATTCCGGCAATGATGTTGCAGAGGGAGTGACAGATGTTTCAGCCCCGGATGGTGTTGTGGAAGTTGCTTCGCTGGCTCCTTCTGCTTCACTGGACGTTAGCCTGCTTTCTTCTGTTGTAGTTGATGTGGCTTCAGTTGTTTGTGGAGGTGCTGGTGATGTTGTCACGATTGTTGCTTCTTCGTCTTCGTTTGCTTGAACGTTTGGCACATTTTGACTCTCCGAAGGCTCCTCTCCGCTAGATTCTCCAGCTGAAGTCGTAGTTGCCTCGGATTCTTTCTCTTCTCCTGTAGGTACCTCTCCACTTGCCTCTGATGTAGCTTCTCCCGGTTTTGGAGATGATGATACAGCAGCTTCTTCCGGGACTGACGTAGAGGCTTTCGTTGCGGACTCTGAAAAAAAACAAAGTCGTTCGAATTGCAGACTGTTTTGGTGTGTCCTGCATCGTACCTGGAGTAGCATCTTCACTCTTTTCCCCAGTTGCTCCGTTGCTCAATACCAGTTTGCTTCCTGCCTTATGTGGAACTGAAACCATGAATTGAGAATGATTATTACAAGCTATCAAAAATTACTTATTGCATAGCAGTGATTTACAGCAGAGCACTTTATTTGGAACACATTATTTGGCTCCTGAGTTGAGTTGAGCTGAGAATATTCGCAGTTGCGAAATACATAAATGGGAAGTCCTAGATCGTGTATCGAGTGCAAGTAAAGTACCCAAGGATTTTTCTGATCATAGTATTAGGTTGAGTCGATATGGCTCGGACAAATGGTAGTGATGATTTCTAGAGATCATAACTCAGCAACGAGTGAACGAAAATGGACGCGCGAGGTACCGTTGGAAAGAATATAAAAAGCTCTTCAAAATGCAATCAAACAAACACTCCAAACTAGTTTCATTCCGCCACCATGCCGCACGATTTCAAGCCGTCCAGAGACCACCTCCGCAACGTCATACTCTTTCTAACGCTATCTGGCCAAGAACCCGCGGATATCGACAGACGCCTAAAGGAAGTCTACAAGGAGCATGCCCCCGCTAGAAGTACAGTCTACTTGTGGCATTCGAAGTTTGCGTCGGGCAACTATTCCATCGAAGACGAAGACCATGCGAGACGCCCGAGGGAGCTGGATTTGGACTCGCTGCGGAAACAGGTGGAAGCCGATCCGTATCAAACCACTCGAGATATGGCGACCGCTCTTGGGGTGAGTCAGACTACTGTCGTTCGCGGCTTGAAGTCAATCGGCAAGGTGCTGAAACTCGGTCGATGGGTACCCCATGCTCTGACGCAGCGGGACATGGATCGGCGGTGCGAGGTCGCACTTTCGTTGCTCACCTTCAAGCGCCACCACCATTGGCTCGACGAAATAATAGAAGTGGGTCCTCTACTCTAACTCTCACCGCCGTGCACAATGGGTCGACAAAGATGCCGACGCAAACGACGTCCCCAAACCCAGTCCACACCCGAAAAAGGTGATGCTCTGTATTTGGTGGAGCGTACACGGCGTAGAGTACTGGGAACTGCTCGATGAAGGTGCAACAGTAACCGCCGACGTCTACATTCGTCAATTACGAGAATTGAAGGCAAATGTCCAAAATTCGCAACGGCGGCGGTCCCATGTCTACTTCCAGCACGACAACGCGAGACCGCACATTGCAAGATCGACCAAGGCCGAGCTGCTGTCGTACAGTTGGACCGTGCTTCCACACCCACCGTACTCTCCAGACCTGGCCCCTTCGGATTTCCACCTTTTCTCCCACCTCCAACGCCACCTGGACGGCCAAGACTTCAAAACTCGCGACGACGTCAAGAAGGCACTCGAGAACTTCTTCGAGGCCCAGCCCCCGGCCTTCTGGAGCAAGGGCATCCACGATCTGCCTATCCGGTGGCAGAAGGTCATCGATGAAGATGGAGCATATTTCAAGTGAACCCCAGTTGTCGTTAAAAAGTTGTACGATAAAGAAAAAATTTGTCAATTTGTCCGAATCATATCGACTCAACCTAATAACACATGTTGCCACCACTGCGTGAATACATAGCGCGTAAAGCGATGAGACCAATCGAAGCTGGAAAAGGATAACCCATTTCCACTCACTTCAAGCGTTCTGGCTGCTCTATTAGTCAAACCGGATGAGGCGCTGTCAAGGATGCTAGGCAAAAAACCCATTACCTGTACTAGTAGTCCTATGAGAAGCTCGGCTTCGATGTTGCGTACGGCCCCGCTTTTTCGGTACCCGTTTTATCCAAGGTCTCTTTCAATGTAATACCGCCCGAAGGTTGGGCGAAATGGAACAGTTAATGTTCATTATACCTATTGTTGTTGTCTTGCTGTTGTTAATAAGTGGTAAATGGATTGAGTAGATTTCCTCGAAACTTTCGGACACACTAATGACAGAAGATCTACCGAAGAAGTAGGGAGGGCACTGCCGAACACATGCGAGAAATTGCAGCGACCCTATAAACCACAACACCACTCACCCGGTGATCTCGTCCGATCACATCCCTTGATCTCCCTGGTACAAATGCACCTCCAAAAAGATCCTATTGGGGACATTTGCCATAGCCTTTCTTTCCATACTGGCATCGCTTTTATACCCCACTATCCAGACTATCTGATCGTGGAAATTGTCTTTGGATGAATGTGTTGTAGCTCTTGACGACGCATATAAAATTGGGAGTCGCTCAAATGCGTAACTTTGTTTCTTTCTGATCCTTGACAGACTTGATCCACAACAAGATAGATCATAATCTGTGCTCGCACGAGCACATTTATGGCAGAAAGTGTCTAGTTCCCGCTGTGTCTTGCATCAACGAGGAGTCAAGCAAACAACATCTATACTGATTAGATCCCACCTTCCAAAATGTGGTGGAAAGCTTCTTTCAAGACACACACACACACACACACACACACACACACACACACACACACACACACACACACACACACACACACACACACACACACACACTTAGACATCGAAAGCTCCACTCTTAGCTTGATCTGTTTCTAACGTGATGGAGGAGCAAGCGAGTGAAGCGTTGAATAGTTCAAGTCTGCAGAAATTCCTTGTAGAAGTGGGTCACTCACAGAGGAGTGATGCCACTTTTTTTATTTTCTAGCGCATGTTTACGTTCTTATCTTCCACCACAATACCAACTCATCACTCAAGATTTAGGATACGTCGCAGATATGAAAATCTGTGGTGTTTACAGCATGATGATCATGACTGTGTATACTGAGTTTTGAGTTAGTTTGTTTACAATATGGTGGTGTGGGTTCCCCCACAAATCCTATCCGCAGCCTCATCGTGGCGTGGGGGTGAACGGTTTTGGACTGTTCCAAAACGTACCAATGCGGAGGGTGCCACGTCAGAGCCTGGCGAGCTACGCGTGGTTAAATTTTCTTCTCGCCGAAAACAGTAACAACTATGGGCCTCATTCCCCTGAAGCTGAGGGAACCACCGACAGGGCGACGTCGGCTGGGACCGCTCGGGACGAGGCTGCTAAAATCACAGGGCCAACGGAGATTTAAGTCGCCCAGGACTAGGATGACGATCTGTACTTTCAACGCACGGACGCTTGCATCGGAAGCTCACATCGAAGATCTGATGTTGCAAGCCAGGAAGATCAAGTACGTCATCGGACTGACCGAGACGAGGAGGCATCGCCCGCTACACGCCGTATACGAGACTGGAGAAGAACTGTTCCTCGGAACATGCGACAGCAGAGGCGTTGGCGGTGTGGGCGTCCTCGTCAACACGCACTTGGCCATGAACATCGATTCGTACGAAATCTGACGACCCGAATCGGACGTTTGCGATTGAGAAGATGTGGTTCAACTCCAGCTTTGACAATCTTCGTCGCCTACGCACCAACATCAAGCTACGACGAGGATGAGCTCGAAGCGTTCTATATGGAATTGGAGAAGTTCTACAAGGAAGATCATACCTTCTTCAAGGTCATCGTCGGTGATTTCAACGCTAAGATCGGACCAAGAAGAACGGCTGAAGAACTTCACATCGGAACTCACGGAATGGAGTGGAATGAGCAGGGTGAAAGGCTGTCTGAGTTTATCATGTCGACCCATACCATCCATGGTAACTCGCAGTTCCAGAAGCCCTACTCTCTACGCTGGACATGGGAGTCTCCTGGTGGACAATTCCATAACGAGATCGACCACATCATCTGCAATCGAAGGTTTTGCCTGACCGATGTCGCTGTTGTCCCTAAGTTCTACACGGGATCCGACCATCGTCTCCTTCGCGCAAGATTCCGCTTTTCGATGCGAGGAGAGAGAGCCGCAAAGTTCAAGAAGCGAAGCCCCAAGACCTTCATCAACTGGGATCACTTCACTTCTCTCGCTGGGCTCTGGGAGGATTCTGTCATCGACAACATCGACGAGGAATACGAACGGCTTGTTGCACATCTTCACGACTGCGCCAAGAAGTCAGAGGGTTCCAAGATTACCAAGAAGCGTCTATCTCTGGAAACTCTCGAGCTGATTCGCCAACGTGGAGCCGCACGAGCCGCAGGCAATTACCAGCTGACGTCTGAGCTTGCGAAGCTATGCAGAGAAGCGATAAAGGAAGACCTCAAGGAGAGAAGAGCAGCAGTACTGGTGGAAGCCGCAGAGGCTGGGAAGAGCATACGCAACGCCCGCCGCGACTTCGCCAACTGTAAGACCAAGATGACCGCCCTCCGACGTCCGGATGGAACAATCACCGCATCCAGAAGGGCAATGGAGAAGGTCATCCACGACTTCTACTCGGATCTCTTTGACAGCCACGTCCACCTGCAACCATACCGCTTGGAGCAGGATGGATATGTCGTTCCTGCAGTTCTCTCTTCCGAAGTCCGACACGCCATCTCGTCGGTGAAGAATCGTACGGCACCCGGTCCCGACAGGATCAGACCCGAACATCTGAAGAATCTTCCGCCAGTTCTTGTCAAAACTCTGGCTCGACTCTTCACGCGCTACCTGTCGGAATGCAAGGTACCCACCTCGTGGAAAACCAGCAAGACTGTGTTGCTGTACAAGAAGGGAGACCTGTACGACATTGGCAATTATCGCCCAATCTGCCTGCTGTCTGTAGTCTACAAACTCTTCACACGAGTCATCCTGAACAGGATTGGCAGAACACTAGACGAAGGACAGCCATGCGAGCAAGCAGGGTTTCGAAGAGGATTCAGCACGATCGATCACATCCACACGGTAACGAAGCTCATCGAAGTATCGCGAGAGTACAAGATGCCGCTATGTCTCACGTTCATCGACTTGAAGAAAGCCTTCGACTCCGTTGAGACAGAAGCGGTTATCGAAGCCCTGGGCAACCAGGGTATTCCTACTCAGTACATCAGGATTCTTCGTGAGCTCTACAGCAACTTCACGACCAAGATCTCACCATTCTACAAGGAGATCATCATTGATGTGAAGAGAGGGGTCCGACAGGGCGACACCATCTCGCCCAAGCTCTTCAGCGCCTCTCTCGAGAACGTCATGCGTCAACTGGAATGGGAAGACATGGGAGTGAAGATC